GAGCAGAAGCTGGTTCTGGATGCCCCAAGTGGCACCTCTTGTTTAAGCCAAACAACTCCTAAAGAGGCATGGGCTGCGGGACGGGGTGTGTGGGCTCCTCCAGGACCCCGGTGCTGCGGGGCTGAGCTGGGTCTCCCTTGCACAATCAGAGCACAGCCTTTGCTATTTTATTTTTCTCCTGCTGGGGTGTGTGTGCCAGGGCCAGGCGCTGTGGTCACACCGTTGAGTGACCTGGGCTAGCAGGAGGTGTCCCTGCATGTGGCAGGGGGTTGGAGCTGGATGGGCTTTAAGGTCCCTTCCACCCCAAACCGTTCTGTGGTTCCGTGAGGCAGTGATGGAGCCCCAGTCTGCTCCCTGAGCACCCCGAGCTCCTCTCTCCTCCAGCCCGCGGATCTCGGTGCTCTGCTCTTTGCAGATGCCGTCCCCAGGGGCTGCCCGGAGTGGTCCTCGGGCTCTCCCTGGGGGACCGGGCGAAGGGCGGGTGGCCAGAGGCTGACCAGGATGCGGAGGCTTCTGAAGATCCCCCCCATGGTCCTGTTCCCTGGGGTCTCCTTCCACCCACCTCCCGCTGACACCAGTGTTCCCAGCAGCGGGGGGCTCCGCGGTGGGGACCGTCTTCTCCGCACTAGCCCGTGTGTTGTGTCCTAAATTCCCCCGAGCTGCAGCGGCAGCAATGGGCGGTCGCTCCCCAGCCCCCTTTGCTCGTAGCCTGCGTTGATTTGCGCGGGGCGGCCGTGCTGCTGCTCCTCCGGCGCCAGGGAGCGGAGTTCCTGGGCGTCCCCCGGAGCACTCGGGAGCTCGATTCTCGGGCAGTGGCTGTGGCTGCACCGAGTGCTGGTGAACCCGCGTGGATGGTGTTTGACCTGTACAAAGTTAGAATCCCTCTCCATCCCCTGTGCGTTCTGCATGAGTCTACAAAATGGTTTTAATTCTTTTTTTCCAATATTAAATCTCTGTGGTCCCACCAGAGGTCATGCCGAGGAGGCTGTAGCTGTGGCAGCAGTCGCGTCCTCGTTATAACCCTCCTCGTATGTTCCCAGCAGCTTCTTCCATGCTCCTTTCTCCCTTAATGTTCTGGGCTTGTTCTGGCCCTAAAGTGCTTTTCTTGGCTCTTTGTCTTGTCAATATTTTGAACAAAATCAATTTGTCCACTCTTGTGCTTTCTGAGGGTAGAAGAAACACGTCTATCACTCTCGCAGAAATACAGAAGACTTTTTTTATGCGCAGGCCAGATTATTTTTTTCCTTCCTTCCTTTTTTTGTTGTTTTTTTTAAAACAAACTGATGCCTGGAAAGAAATCTTTCTAGATGTCCGGTTTCCTGGGCTGGTGTCCCACCTGCCCTTCTCCAGGAATCTCCGAGCCCGGTGTGACGTGCCTGTGGTGTGACTTAACCCCCATGGCGGCAGGACGATCGTGCTCGGGGGTGTCCTGGGCTCCCTTCCTGCCTCCCACCGCCTCCCACCGCCACGTCTGTCCTGGGTGGGTGCTGCCCAATGGTGCCGGTGCTGGTGCATCCCCGCGGAGCACCCGGGGCGGTGGTGGCTGATACCCGCCGTCAGCCCGTGATGTGCCCCCTCCTCTCCCATCCCGCCCCGTGCGCGGAGCTGCGCCAGCAGCCCGGTCCGTAGTCCAGGACATTCTTTTTTCATGAGGAAATGTCTCAATTAGCAGATTGGAAACCTTAGAAAGAAATGACCACGTATGTTTGCACGCAATAAAACCCAGGGATAGAAATTCAAACCTTTTTAATACTTTTCCCCCTGATCCGCCCCGTGTCAGCCAGCCAGGCGAGCTCATCTGGAGACAGAAACTCCTGACAGCCTCAATCGCTTCTTCAGCCGGCCAAATTCTGCAGGTTGCCAGAACACCATGTTTTTTTTTTTCTTTTGAATAACAGTCTTAAGTGATCTTGGACGAGGAGGGAAGCTCTCCTCTGCTGGAAACATTCTCTCTGCACCGTTCCTCCAGCCCCGCTCCCCGTCCAGCTGCAGGAGCTGGAGCCAAACTGGGGAGAGGGGCTGCGATGCCTCTGCCCGCCGATGCCTCTGCCCGCATTGCCACCGGGGGCAGATGTGACATCCCCCTGCATGACCCCTCGGTGTGGGACCTCTGTTGGGTGTCTGTAACCCCTCCACTGGCTGTGCAGCGGTTGGGTTGGTGGGTTTTTTTTGGATGGTGTCTTTGCAGATGCTCCACCCCCACTGCAGGAGTTGTGGGGGGTCGGTGCCCAGCGTCCCCAGCATGGTCACTATTTGTGTTGGTGTTTTGTGTCCTCAGTCTGAGGTTCTGACCACGACGAGCCCTCTGGCAATGCCTGAAATCCTTGCGAGTGTCTGAAAGACCTGAAATAATAAAATAATACAGAACGCACCGGGGTGGGAGCGCTGGCGGGAGCTGCCCAGGCACCGGCTGATGGAGCTGCTGCCCCCCC